TTATTTTACAGGACAGTGTCAACATAAATATCGCTGGTGTAAAAAATAATAACCAAAATAAAACTTGGATGACCCAGCTTGTTTGGCAGCGAAACAAGCCAAAGAGATTTTTTAGTAGCAAATTAAAAACTGCCATGTCTGCCTGAAATAATGGCAATACATTTGAATTCCTAAATTGCATGTCAACGACTTGAAAACAATTGAGACATAAGTTTTAAATTAAATAGTTGGGCTGAATACCAAGGTAACTAATACAAAAGAAATAACCTATAAAGAATAATTTGAGATACGTTGATGTTCTCTCAAAAAGTAGTTTCAAATAGTGACAATATCTAAATGCACTGCAATGCATTCTCTACTGTCTGTAAAATATACATCAGTAAGAACATTTCGAAGATATGCATAATCAGCAACATTTGTAAACTATACTAACTATACTATGAACAACATTTTAAAAGTTAATCAGTCAGGACATTTTGAAAATTAGCATTAAGACCATTTAGAAAATATACATCAATATCAACATCTTGAAAAAAATAAAGTGAAGGTAGGCTTGTGCTTTACCTCTTAAGAGTCCTGTGAGGTAGGTGCATGAGGAAAAGTCTGGGTGGTTGTGGACAGTCCTTATTTATAGAGGAATCTTCTGGGTCAGGCAGAAATGGCCATCACCTTGCTGGTGGTTGTTCGTCTCCATAGATACATTCCAGTGTTGCCACTGTAAAACAACAACAAACTAAATAATTAATCAAAATAAGTCTAGAGTCAGGAATGTACAATAACAACGTCCAATCAACGCTTATGTAGCTGATAATACCAAAGTGTCATGTCGCTTAATGTGGCAACGTCAGTATGTCAAAACAACATATGGAGTGAGAGAGTGAGAGACGAGAGAGAGTTCACTGACCTATATGAAGTCCCATTCAAAGTCCAGGAGGTTCTTCAGTAGTGAGGAGACGTGTGTATTGACGGTGGTAGACTTCTTCTGGACGATCACACCCGTCTTCTTGGAGACAACCTTGCCCCGTATGGCCTTTGTTCCTCTCTGGATTAATACCAATGAAGCTCCTAAAATCACAATAGTGTAAAATCAGAGACTGAATGAAAAACTATTAGGAACACTTAGTCTTAAAGGGTTAGTTTCAATTTTCTAACATAAGGTGATATGAGTTACTAACCAGTTCTGATGTCATGAGGTATTTTGTGTAATTCCGGTGCTGGATTTTCCTATCAGACCTTTCTATATCTTGGAACTATATTATTTGTTGAAAATTGCCAGTGACTGGCAGTATTACTTCGCACTGGAGCCAGTTCACATATTACGCCTCTAATAAAGCTCATAGGCAGCGTGATATGAGAATTGGCTCCACTGCATAGTAATAATCTGATGTAATTCAACAAAGAAAATATTTTTAAGATACAGAGAGATCGGACAGGAGCATCAAGCAGCAGAATTATCTTAATATATGTATAAATGCTTCATGTTTTTTTTGTGTGTGTTGTGGCTTGAAATGTTTTTGTTACCTGACCAATCTTCTGCTGAGTTAATGTCTATGTAAATACCGGAAAGTAACTAATACCATCTTCTGCTAAAGAATCCAAACTATCCTTTTAACTGTGCAAAGTAATGATTTGTGGCTATTAAGGTTTCAAGAATAGTAATTGTCCAAAAAAATACTATAATGACGACAAGGAAATTAAATGATTCTTACCTCTGAATGAATTCTAGAGTACAGGCTGCCTCTTCTTGGTATTGAAGGTTGAATATATAGTAAATCGCAAACACAGCTGCAAGTCCCATCAAGAAAGTTGGTGTGATGCCCTCAGCTATAACACGGCCCTCAAGGGTGATCATCCAGCGTCCAGTAGTGACTTGCCCTGTTCCACCTGAAACTTCAAGTAATAGCAACATCAGAATGCCTCTCACCATGAGTAAACATCTGTAAATTCAAAAAACAATGGGCAATCTAATGTGTAATATGTCTACCAATGACATGCATACCAGGCAGTATCAGGACTTGCAGGTAGAGTGAGGGTTGTCTCAACATCAGCTGTGGTGGCAGACACCTGTAGGGAATAGACAAAGACACCCATATTATGAATACCATATGTTTTTTAAGGAGGAAAATAAACCACCTTTCTACTTTAAATGATCCCCTAACCATTCCCACCTTCAAGTTTCTTTGTTTCTTTGTGGCATTTGAAGCTATTATCAAGGGACAAAAGGCTATCAGCTAGCTAGCTAGCAACAACTGCTACCAGTCTTAAGAAATTAAACGGTTAGCATTTGATTAAACGGTGACTCTAAAATGCATGTGAA